AAAATGATCACTCTTTTTTTCCTTTTTCAAAATTGGTTTCAAAGAAATTCTCTATTACAAATGCAAATCTTTCTTTTTCATAATATGATTGGTATTCATCTTAGTGAAGAAGATTAGGACACAATCTGATGCTAATCAGCATATTCAAGTTTGTTCACTTTTATTAAGATAAAAAAGCAAGCATTGTTAGCATACAGTATTTGAAATTTATGTCTACATCACTATTTTACTCTTTCTATATAGATATAGCAGTTATTTAAGTTAAAACATATAGCACTAAATGCTCTTGATTCATACATTTAAAAAAATCCTCTCTGGCAAAATTCTTTGAAGAGAGTAAATGAGCATACTGGCTGCTTCACTTAGCTGTCACCTCTCGAAAGGCTGTATGAGCAAGCCTGACACACTTCATCTCTCATGTTATCATCATCTACATGCTTTTGTTATTGTCTCCCGTGTTGAACTTTATGGCATCTTCAGTCAAAGGAATACGAGTGAAACGAAGTGTGGCACTGTAAATGAACAAAATAACTAGGAGAGGGGTTTAAGAAATGATTGTAAAGGTTGTGTGCAGATTGCTTTAGTCGCTATAATATCAGTGCACAAGAGCCGTGTAATACATCATCTCAGGACAATCCTATAGTTGACGATTGTTCAGAGTTAGGCACAAAGAATTGTCAGCTGTTCAATGTTTCAAAGCAGAGCGTGGACTCAGATTTGAAGCATCATAATGGTTATGAAATCATTGTGATACTTGCAATAGATACTCAGACATAGCAAGAAAATAGCTTTTAATTTGGGGAACCAAATTTCTTAAGAACACAAAATTATAGAAGCTAGTGATTGGGTCCAGAGAAGGGCAACGAAGCTGGTGAGGGGTCTGGAGCACAAGTCTTACGAGGAGAGGCTGAGGGAGCTGGGGTTGTTCAGTCTGGGGAAGAGGAGACTGAGGGGAGACCTTATCGCTCTGTACAAGTACCTGAAAGGAGGCTGTAGAGAGACGGGGGTCGGTCTCTTCTCCCAAGTTACAGATGTCAGGACAAGGGGCAATGGCTTCAAATTACGCCAGGGGAAGTTCAGGTTAGATATTAGGAAACATTTCTTTACTGAAAGGGTTATCAGGCATTGGAATGGGCTGCCCAGGGACGTGGTGGAGTCACCATCCCTGGAGGTATTTAAGAAACGTGTAGACATGGTTCTTCAGGGCATGCTCTAGTGCCCAAGATTACTGGTTTGTGGTGGGGTGCTGTGTGGGTGGGTGATGGTTTTTTGGTTTGGAGGTTGTTGTTGTGTGTTTAGGTGGTGGGTGGTGTGGGTTTTTTTGGTTTTGTTTTTTTTTTTTTGGTTGGCCTCGATGATCTCTGAGGTCCCTTCCAACCCCCACAATTCTGTGATTCTGTGATTCTGTGATTGGAAATATATTTTGTCACCCCATCCTTCTCTTCACTGCATCAGGATGTTTCTTTATAACACACTTCTATAGTGTTCGGCAGCTCAATTGTAGGAATGTATTTGGAGTTGGGGAGGGGGGAGAGGATATCTGCAGGGAAGTTCCCATACACCCGTCAACTACACAGGACGCCATCCTAGAAATGGAATCAGCAGCTACTTGAATGTACATGGAGACCAAAAAGGGCCATCACTGATTTCATCACATAATTCAGCATCATACTCACTATGTGAGCACTGCTTGGAATGGGGAAGAATAAACTACAAACCTCAGATCCCACCCAGTAAATCCCAGCATGGATATACATGATTATATAGAGTAAAAATAAGTGGCTTGTACATATGTTGTGCAATTTCAAACATAAAACAGAGATGCTAACTCATGCTGTCACATGAGTATCACTACAAAAGTGCGGTAATTCTCACATATAAGCAAATCTACAGATGTTTAGTACTCTCACAGATCCCCAAGAGGCCTGTTTCCTATTTTTTTATATCTTTTTTGTATTTATTAGAAGTAAACTATACAGCTCCAAGCAGATATATAAAAGTTTCTGACTATGCTGATGCAGGACTAAGAACTGTATTGGGAGCACCTGTCCAGCTGCAAATGTAGTGCAGTCCAGCAGCTGGAAATCAATTTACGGAGTTCACAATAGTTAACATACATCTTGCATGATTCCTGCTCCCACTGGCCACCTCCAAGTCTCCAGATTCCCCCTCTGCAATAATCCTTGTGGAAATTCTTTTCCAGCAAGTAACGCACACCCCAAATGCATGTGTGCAGAATGGTGACAAGCTGTGCTCAGACAAATATTGTCCTCCCAACTGCACTTTTTACCTGAGTGTCCTGTTCACCTGGACCATATAACACCTCCCCAAAGACATAGCTGGATGTTTGCTTGATGACATCCTACGCCTGAGGTAATCTGAGTTTGATTCTTTGAACATCTTGACAAAAGCTGTAGTTAGCATCAGACTCACTAATTACAGCATTATTTTTTCATCTGCTTGCTTTGGAAAGGCTCCGTTTCACCACATACCAGTGTTTGATCATTTCTTACAGAGGTCTGACACCGAGATCCCTTACAGTTTCATATACACATATTGATTTCCAAATGACAAGAGGTGTGATGCCTTTTCCTATGGAGTGAAGGCAAATTCTCCTTCATGTGTTCCAGTACTCACACTTCATGTGTTCCAGTATTAGGAGACGTGTTCCAGGCACACTTCATGTGTCTCTAGCATTAGGGGAAAAATATAGACTTTTTAATGCAAAGCTTTTCCCTACAAGCAAAAAAGTTTGATCAGCTCAGTCAAAGTAATAAAGAAACACAGCAGCTGGTCTTGCAGTACTAATCCACTATTGTTCCTTTGATATCACAAGTATCATTATACTTAGCAGTATGCTTCCATTTCAGCAATTTTCTTTTAAATGCACAGCACTGTCACCAGTTGCCTAATGTATAATGGACCCTTAAATCACACTTGGGTTAATAAAGCCAGAAGATCAAACACTAAGAAACAAAAAATAAAAAGTTTCAGCTGATCCATGGGTCTCAGGGAAAGTGCTAGCACCCTAAAGCCAAGGGTGTGGTTTATCACTCCCTGGTAATTCCCAGCTGACAAAAGGGTCCCTTGATGCCCAGGGCAGCTGAGGAGGGTTGAGAGAAGCCTGAGAAGGTTTTACTTTATGCTGAGAGTAGTCTGTGTTGTCCTGAGTAAAACCTAAACAGATTGATAATCTAAACTATGGATTTTGAAAACTGAGGTAAGTAAGTTCCTTATGTAAATAGGGTGTGTGCGTGTTTTTATTCTTTCCTTAATACAACTTTTAAGACTATTCTTAAATTCTTGGGATTGCTAGGTAAAATACGTTCTTTTTCTTGTATGGTTTAAGTACAAGAATACAAGGATAGCTGAAGTATTTCTGCCACCATCTGTATTATCACAAAAAGAAAAATGTTATTTGTTAAAAAGAAAACAAAGTAATACTATGAAAGCATTTACTAAAAAGTAATTCAGTGATACATTTAATAATGCTTGGGTGGCACATCTTCTGAGAAAAGCACTGGGTGGTGTCAAAACATGTTGGTTTCTTCACAAGGGCATAGTGTTTGTACTCTTTATCAATCTTGTCTTTATCAGTAAATTGTGCAACAACAAGAGCTTCCATCCAAAATAATGAGGGACTTGAGCTTTTGATTTTTTCACAAATATCTGGGCTAGGTGTGTTGCTGTCTGGTTTTTTGCTGCTTCTGTCACCTTCTTTCCAGCTTGAAATTAATCATGCAGGTGACCTTGCTGGTTTTATTACACGCAGCAGGTTGTTTGAGCTATTGCTGGGAAAGTGTGACATTGCTCAACTAGTGGCATCTTGTATCTATTTTTCCTAATCTGTGTTTCACTGCCATTTCTAAATACAGGCTGTATTTCTGCTGTAATGCATGGTTTCCTTCACTTGCCGTAAATTAAAAATAATTCTGCTGCTAGAAAGTAAGTACAGCATAGTAAAATGTTCTCTAACTGCTTGTAATAAAAAGATCTTTTTAATCCAGGTCCCTGTTAGCTTTAAATTATTGTGTTGCCTCAACTTTCCATGAGAACAATGATGCTGAGTGTAGGAGGCATAGTAATCTGGGTAACTTCCATCCTAAGATATTGAGTGAATGGGTACATCTAACTGCAATTGATAACAAGGGGCTTGTGAAAATCCAGGCAAGTCTGAAATGGTGCTACATGAGTACAGTATAGCTCTGTGTTACAGCCTGATTCCAGAGAACAGGCAGGAGGCTGGCTGGAAACTTCAAGCCTGTTGGTCTGATCACCTAAATTTGTTGGAACAGTAGGGGACTAAGTCAATGAGCCTTTCCAGCTTACGTTTCAAATTTCTCTGCAGTTGTGGACATGAGTATGGCATCTAGGAAGGTGAGGCTACTTCTGTAGCATGGATCTGGCTCATCTTGTCAAATTATGAATTAATTGTCTCACAAAGCTCCGTTCCCAGGCTTATTTGGTGAAGCATGACTCTGCTCCTCAAGCCCCTGCAAAGTTCCCCAATGGGTTTAATCTGTTTGGAGATGTTGTGACTTGTGGCAGCTCCTCCAACCTGGTGACAGAGCAGTCCCTGACACAGGCTCAGGAAGAAATTTTTCACTGTGGGGGTGGTGAGACACTGGAACAGGTTGCCCAAAGAAGTTGTGGATGCCCCATCCCTGGAAGTGTTCAAGGCCAGGCTGGATGGGGCTTTGAGCAACCTGCTCTAGTGGGAGGTGTCCCTGCCCGTGGCAGGGGGGTTGGAACTTGATGATCTTTGAAGTCCCTTCCAACCTAAACTGTTCTGTGACCCTATAACTGAGAGACAGGATCTGTGTGTTGGAAATCATTAGGATACAGCAATTAGAAACCCCGCCGTAACTCAGGAGAAAGAGCTGCTCTTCTAATCGCGTTGCCCATGGCATTAATTGAGAAAGCTGACTCGGGTGTGCAGGGGAGGAGGCGGTGCAGCCGCAGCCTCACCCGGGGATGCCGATGAGGAGCGGCGCATCCTCCGCCGGTTGCCCGCCGGCCCCGGCCCCTTCCCCTCCCCGCAGGGCGGGCTCGGTCCCCGCCGCAGCCTCCCCCCGCCTTCGCCGGTAGGCGGCACCGCCACCCGCCTTCCTCCTCCTCCTCCTCACCTTCGCCGGGTGACCCAGATCGCGGCGGCCGCACCGCCCGCCGGCGAGGGACGGCCCGGGACGAGGGGATGTAGCGGCGCGGAGCGGTGAGTGCGCGGCGGCGGCGGGCTCCGGGGCGGGCTGGCGGGTCGCCTAGCGACGGGAGGCGGCTCCGGGCATCGCTCGCTGTCCCCGTCCCCCGCCTCGTCCCCCGCCCGCCGGTGGCAGCGAAGTTTTGCCCCTTCGATTGCGGGAAGACCTTGCGGCGTAAGGAAACTGCGGGGGCTCTGCGTGTTCTGCGTATTTGGTTGCTGGGTTGGTTT